CGTGCCTCAGTTTAGGGTTTAGGGTTAACCTTTTTTGGGCTAAGGTACTCGGCCCCTAAGTGGTAGACCACGGCAGTTGTGGAGGCCCAAATCATTGCCGACAGCATTCCTTGGGTTCCTGACTAGATTGTTTATAAGGAATCCTTTAGGGGTCCCTTTAGGGCCCCTTTAAGGGATGTTCCTTCAAGGGTTCCTTTTCAGGGTTGTTTAGGGTTTTGGGGCTGAGGGCTTTGAGCTTTTTGTGGCCACCCAGAGACACCAAAACCTCTTAATTAAGGAATATACCTTAAATCATATTAGGGATCTTGCTATTGGGATATTGGAGTTTATGATTACATCAGGTACTTTAAGGCCAAAGTATAACGTATTTACTATATAGATCTAGAAAGGTACATGGACCCATGCGGATGTAGACTTGATGCATCCGGCAAGCTCTCTTTGGGCTGTTCGGTGTTCTGGTCTGTTAGGGCTCAGGGTTTGGGGTTTACGACCTGCCCTGGATGTAAGCGGGTTGACCGGTCGCGCTTTTGCTTACAGTATACTATACTCCCCAAACCCTGTCCATTTAGTGACGCGTTCAGGCCCGATACAATTCTTGAACTCTCGCTAATGGAAAGTTGTGATGTTCCTGGATTGCTGGCGAAACCTACCGAACCGAGGGAAAGACGGGTGGCCGATGTGTATCACAAGAAATCGACCATGGCGATGAATTACAACGGAGTCAATTCCGATAAGGCCTGGGCTTAGAGTGGGCAGCAATTGGGAACCAGTCCTACCCCCTGAATCCCACACGCAATGACGTCCTTTGAATCTTTTAGCCGAAGAGGGTTTAGGGTTTGGGGTTTAAGGGTTTTCGGGTTTGGGATTCAGGTTTCGAAGCATTTAACCCTGAACTATCAACCCCAGACCCCAAACCTTCTAAACCCCCAGCAACTCGAAACTCCGTAAACTCTTGGAGCTCAGAACTACAACCGCAGGCCCCGGAAGTCGTAAACCTTCAACTCTAATCCCAAATTACACTTGAACAAGTAAAGATGAGACGCGTATAGACTCCTAGTATGCATATACATATATAAGCATATACATAGATGTATGTTTCCAATGTATATAGCTGACAGTGATGTCCTACAAAAACTTCACATATATGTATGTAATCTAAGTTCGGTTTTCATAGAACTTCATATGATGGTTATTGAAAACTAGCCACATTGATGGTTCAAGGTATATGTATATTGGTGTTACTTGTGAACTTATATGATGGTTATGATGGTGATAGTTTGTACCACTGTACAATATGATGTTCTGTTCTGAACTTTTGCTTCCAGCCCCCAAACCGCAACACAAGCCTGCTACCACCCTGATGGGAACCCTATCAGGAACCATGAAAGGAAACCTTAACGGAACTCTGAACCCAAAGCCCTAAACCCCCGAACCCCAAACCCTAAACCCTCACCCCTAAAACCTTAAACCCTAAACCCTAAACCCTAAATCCGATAGATCCCTTTAAGGAACCCTTAAGAAGGAGCCCCAAAGAGGTGGCCAGCCTAACGAAGTGGCTGTCGACAGCTCGCTGCCGCCTCGCGGACAAGGCTCTCCTATAGGGTTTTTAGGGTTTGGGGTTTAGGGTTTAGGGTTTTTTTGGGTTTAGGGTTAGGGTTTTTAGGGTTTGGAGTT